TTTTTAATTACGTACTTTGTTTGCAATATTTTTGCCTGTATTATCAGTTAGAGTTAATTTGTATAAAATGGGGAGCAAAACGTTAAATGGAATTTTAAATAGTATTGTTTATTTGGCTAATAATTAATGTATAAATATAATGGTTAACCTGCTGTATATTTGTTTTGTAAATAACATTATAATAATGTACTTACTGAGTATTTAAATTTATAGATCATCATCATCGTCACTAAATTCACTACCGCTATCATTATGTAGGTACATCTACAATCACTGAATTAATTTCACTAATTTTATCTTTTACTGGGCCTTCCTCTTGTTCTGTTTCCTTGGAGCTTCCATCTCTGGACCACTTTTACACTATTTAAATTGACAAAATGTTCTATCTCCTACTCCTAAGTATGTTTTAACAAAAATTAAACGTGATATTTTAGTACTTTGTATCTACTTTAAATATAACTTATCCTTATCATGGTAGTATATGTTTCAGAAAAAAATTATTAAACAAGTAGGTGAAATAAATTTACGTTAAATAACATTATGCAAGAATACTACTTATTAAAAAAATGTAGAGGTGTAAGTTGGTTGAATGTACTGTAACTCGGTTGTTGCTTAAGGCGTTAAGGATGGCCCAAATTTCTATGGAATCAAATGCCTTCTCGTAATCTACCATAGCTATCCAGAGTGTTACATTGTATTCGATTGATTTTACCATTAGTGTTCTTATTACTTGTAAATGATCCATGGTGCTATAACCTTTTCCAGATCCTCCCTGCTCCCGAGACTGAAAACTATCCAGTTTGTTTGTTAATCGCAATGCTTTTTTGATATTTTAAGTATTATAAGAACATTTAACCAAGCTGTGGGTACTTCACCCATTTATTAAAAATAATGTTTAGCATTTTTATGATATGTTGTCTTTTTTCATTTCTAATACTATTCACCTGGTGCTTTTTTATTTCGCATAGTGCTCATTGTGCTTATTATTTCGTCCTTTTATATCTGGTATATTATCTTTAAATCCAATTTTTTTTTTACTATTTTTCGGTGTTTTTTGTTTTTACCTGGTACCATTATTTTTTGCTTTTGACTCACAGTCTCATATGCCTTTTTTGTAGTATTTCATTTAATTGTATTTTTTGTGCTTCCTTATATCGTGCCTAGACATTTTCTTAATTACACTCTGGGCCAAAATTAACCGGCCACCTTAAAAATGGGTAATTTTTTATTTCTTATATCTCCTAAACCTGTTGTCCGATTTAAATGATTTTTTTAATATGTTATAGCCCTATTTCTTGACAATATCTTTATAATAATAAGGTTGCTAAACAGGTACATTTTCATTGTATACCGGGTGTACGAATTAAACTGTGTTTTTTTAAGTTGGCATCATCCTGTTGAATATTCTAGCATTTATAAAATATTAAAATTAAAACCTAACTAACTCTTTTGTTAAAAAAACAAAATGTTGAGAAAGCATGAGACTATAGTTACGATTTAATTTCGGAATTCTACAAATGCTAGAATATTCCACAGGGTGATGCAAACTTGGACCTTCAAATACCGCTTGCAACATTTTCGATTCGTAAAAAAGAACTACTGCATAACCTTTTTACATAAATAACTATTTTAAAAAAAAGTTGGAAACTGAAATAAAAAATTGGTTTATACCTCTGAAAATACTTATTAATTCGGAAGATAATGGAGTGTTTTCACACTTAAGTATTCTACAAGAAAAAGTGTTGTACGTTCAAGAATGAATTTTAAATATTTCTAAAATTGCTCAAATATATTAAAGCGCCAATTTTTATTCAACTTCTGCAAGTTGCCGTCATTTAGAAAATTATTACTGGGAAAATATTAAAAATATGCAATAAAAAGTAGTATTTACTGGATAACTCACATTTAACGAGATTAAACTAACACACCTATTATCACGAAATTACTTATTAAAAAGATTATAATCCCCACAATTGGCTTATATTACTGAAGGGAAGCAAATGTGAGACAACATTCCAATATACAAATTTGTTTATTATTATATTTTATTTTAATTAAATTTAATATAGTTTAACCCAAAATTCACGCAAACAATATTTTGGATAAAAAAAAACAAAGTTCTTGATTAAAAGTTTTAAATTTGTATTTAATATCAAATCTGGCAAATTTTAGCCCTATTTTGGAATAATTTTTCATCTTTTAGGCCCAAGAAATAACGATTTTGACAATACGAATCTTTTATTTAAAACCTCTTTAAAAAAAAATTCCAGCAAGTTAATTCAGATTATCTTCACAGCCAATTCTGAATACGAAAATAAGAAATTCCACATTACACATGATATTTATCTCAAATCTTCATTAAAGTAAACACATTTTTTCGTGTAACAATTTTGTACTGTCAACTGTCATACTGTCTTAATTTTTCGTTGGCAATACTTTACCAAGGAATTGGAGCTAAATTCAAAATATCTTGCGTTAAATTTGGGATCATTTATAACCAATGATTTATAAACAGCATCGAAGTTATATACTTTCTAATCTGTTAATTGATTATACAGGGTGATGTCTTATTAAGGTGACAAAAAAATATTAAGATTACTTTTTGCGGGCAATATGTGTTTCTCGTATGTCTCACTATGAACGGTTTCTTTTATATATACTTTTATTAAATAAGTTGACTGTCTGGTATTTCTTAATGTCTGACAGCACGGTAATCTCATTATATATAAAAAAAATTCAAAGGCGGAATTATATCTTTTACTAAGACATGCCAAAATTGTAGTGCCAAATCACAACATTCCTCCAAGTACAATAGAGTAATAATAATATTTACATTTTATCTAAAATGCGTGCTAGCGAATAAATATTGAAACGGTGGAGGCAATTAAGGTATTAAAATAATTCCGTAGTGATTATTAGGCATACCTACTTATAAATGTTTTATTATACAGGGTGGAACAGCCAATGAATAAATTCACTCATTAATAAATGGAGGCATGTTCACAAAAACGCTTGGATACGTCGATTGGTATTTTTAGTGTTGGTAATACCAACTTTCTTATTTGAAATACATCACCCTGTATATAATTTAATTTTTGGATTTCCCAGGATATTCTAGATGTATTTCATGTACAATGTCCTATAACTAGCTCTAACTGTTTTGTAAATTTTAAGTGATTTTCTATTTATTCCAAAATTTGCTACAACACACTCAATGATTGTTTTTGATGTAGGTCTTGATAATAACAAAGTAAACTAAACTTATTTCAGCGAACCTTTTTACTAATATGAAATAACAAAAATATTTTTTATAATAATTTTATTTATTCTAGTCTGTTTTGGAAAGTATGTACTACATATTTCTTTTCAAACATTGGTGTTATTTCTATACAAGAACATCTATCGCAGGATCGGAGCTCTTGGCAGCTATACTGCTGACTGATCTAGTCACCTTTGTCAACGAGTCTAGTCCAATTTTCATGCTCGCTCTGTCTCAACTCTCAGATATCAAATGCGGAACAATTATTCCATATTGCAAAAGATCGAGAAGCGTTCGCAATGGTGATCGCTAACATCGTATAATTCGAATATGGCACGCGAAGAAGAATAATTGGTTATGGAGACAACAGACGAACACAAATGGATGTTTCTCGCTTATTTCATGAACCATTTACCTCCTGGATCCCAAGGAACAGTTGGTAAAGGTGATAAGCAGTGAAAAACAATGTTATTATTAAAACATGTATTGTTTTCTGATAACTGTACCTTTAAAGTTCACAGGCATGCTAATCATCCGAATTGCCGCTATTGTTCTAGGAAAAATCCTCACTGGATGAGAGAAATATCCTCACAATCACTCAGTCTCCTGAAAAGGTTAATATATGGCAGGAGATCATTTCATAGGACCTTTTTTATTGATGTCGACGATTATTTAGCACGTTAGTATCACTAATTCGTTTTTCAGCGTGTTGTAGTATATTTATAGAATAAATCTAAAAACACTTAAAATTTCCAAAACATTTAAAGACAGGTATAGGAGTTTCTACATAAAATATATCTAGAACATTCTAGGAAATCCAAAAATAGACTAATATACAGGGTGTTGTATTTGAAATAAGAAAGTTGGTATTGACCATTGTTATATGACATACCCTGTATAAAGAGTTTTTATTGGAAAATATGGTGAACTAAAAATATCAATCGACGTGTTCGAGCGTATTTTTGAATTTGTCCCCATTTATTGATTACCAAATTTATTCCACTTGACTGTTCCACCCTGTATGTGCCTTTCAATTTTACCCATATAAACTTTTCCTCTATTTCTTTTTTTTTTCTTACTGTTCAATTGTTTCTTATTTTCCTATTGTTCGCCTGTTTTATCTTCGAATACCTTTTTATTGAATTTCTAGGTTATTACACCCTTTTTTCTTGGTTTTCTTGTACTTATTCGGCTGTTTCGCAATTGATCTTGTGTTTGGTGTTATCAGTGTCACGTACATTCCTCATCTTTAAATTAAGCACACCTTGACACTTTACTATGATAAACATTGACGAAGTTTTTTACAACACAGTTAATGTCTCAAACTAAGCAAATGTCCAGTTAGTATTGGATATAAGTTGGTTAAAAAGCTTTAGCCTGTTGTCAAACATTAAGAAATTTATTATATTGAGCGTTCAGATCCTTTTCCTTCCATTCAAACCTTTCTCCAAATAATCACAACATTTACACCCACACTGAAAACCTGAGTTCAATTCATTCCTTATTTCTGTGTTGTAATTATTTATTTTAAAACTGGCAATGATTTATACAAAAATTTGTAACAAATTTGAATATCATGGCGTTTGCCTTCTTTCATTAATATTGGCTCTATAAGGTTTAGTTCACTTTTAACAGAATGTCAATGAAATAATGTTGCATGTTATAGTTGATACTAAAACACATACACTTTTGGGTACAAAAATTTGGAACAGAAAACTGTTATCGACATTGTTGTTTTTAGAACACCTTCACGGGGACGAGGTTCAGTACAATACTCTGGTGCGGGTGATCAAATAACAAATAATGAAGTAATCGTGACTAACAATAGGGGTACACCACCAACGTGAGTACACTTAAATCACATTATAAAATTGCTGGGTGATACATAAAACCTGGGAATTATTTTACCTGGCGATTCTATATTTAAAAATATTAGTTTTTGCTTAATAACTGTATATATTGTAGCGAAATTAAATAAAACGAGCGGTTTAAATTTATATAAATATATTTATTTATAAGTTTACAGTTCGGTACTATATTATCAACTAACTTAACGCATAGCAGGTCTGCTTATTATAAAAGTTATTATGTACTAGAATATTCTGAAGTAGTCCACCTCTAATTCGTCTATTTGACGGGTCGATCTCTCCCGCGCTCGATACATTGCTGGAAAGTCGCTTTCGAGATGCAATCGTTACATGGACCACGCCGAATGCATGTTCATAACACTGCTCCCCTCTTAGATCTGAGCGTCCCGATCAGCAATTCTACATGTAGGCCCAGGATGGCGGAATCTACAGGTCTCTCCAGCTCTGCATGAACCCCTCAGAAAGAAATAACAGTCTACTGTCTTTGAAGGACACGATCTCTTTGGATTAATGCAACACACAGTAATTCGTACGCCGGTTTCTCGGAAGATCACTTCAAGCATGCTTCTGACAATCTTCCAATCCAGATTTTCTAGTACATGGCCTAGCTTGCTCTGTCTGTATACGACTTCCTGGTCACCATGTACTCTTTCAACTTTAGGCTGCTAATTTTTTAACTCGTCCAAACGACCGAACTTCCTATAAAATACGGATGAGATTCCTTTAGTCGTCTTAAGATCTTGGGCAACACTATATGCACTAATGTCTTGCCAAGAAGGTCTTTCACTTCGACGCATCCAATTCAATACTCTTTTTATACATGGATTATCTGCTTGAGCGTCTTCAGCGGAGTAACAATATCTACGAATATGCACGTAAACGTACATGGAAATCTAAAAATAAAAGTTTAGTTAAGATTTATCTTGTGTCAACTAATACCAATTCCCTTCACGGGCATGCCCCGTCTAAGGGTCTTCCATCAGCTCTTCTTTGATCTTTCTCTTTTACTAGTTCCAGGAATTAGCATGTGGACGTTGAACATGCTCACTTGGACGTCATTTTGGCATCAATTGTTGCCACCCCTGCACTTCTTAATCTTCAAAGATCCATTCTTAACTATTTTGCCACTTCACTTCCTATTTTACTAATCCATAGATAATTTCTGTAAAAAAATCATTGCTTTAAAGAAGTCTAATGTTGCATTGAAGCAAACTTGGCAATGTGGAATACGTTCTCTAAGAAATCTTGGTAGTTTCATTTGCGTTAATGTGTAAATAAATACGTAAACTATAACAAAATAACTAAACAATTTTTATTCTGATATAACTCATATGATTCCTAGTCATTAAGGGAAAACTTTAATATCTTGTCCTATAGAACCTTCAGGTAAAATAATATCCATTACTTTAAAGTACCATCAATATATATAACTTGTTTACTTTAGTCGATCTAGACCAACTCTAAAACCCTCGACATCGATCATATCCAAAGCTCAAGAATTTGTTGATGTCTATAAATATCCTCCAACTAGACCTGACCCAATTTATCCACAACCCCAAGTGGATAAGACGGCAGCAAAATGTCGCAAAGATGTGTGTTTGCTTCCCGACTGTAGCTGTGGTGGAAAGGACATTCCTGGTAAGTTTACTATATCATTTGTAATACCAGAAACTTTAATGTTGTACATAATAAGTTTAATAAATATCATTTTACAGCTGTTCATCTGTAATGTAAGTTTTCTAATACTCATAGAGAGAGAGAAAGAGAAAGGGATGGGAGGAGAGTTATAAACTTTAACTATGAACAACACCTTGGTATGAATTACTCATAAAGTGTTGTTATTGGCAGATATGAACATGCTTTTGGTCAAATTCCGTATGAAAATGTTCAAGTAACTTTTAGGATTTCGTTATTTTCTCTTATTTCTTTTCCATCTTTATCCTTCAATGAGATTATTATAGGCTTTCTTAAGTTTGATCTTAAATATTTCAGGCCACGGTTCTTTTCTATTATTTTTTCTACCTTGTTTTCATTATAGATCCTTAAATCTTCCTTTACTCCCTTCTTTATTTGTTTATTTAATTCTTTGAAACCATTGGTGTTTCGCTTTCCTTCGCTTAGAAATGTGCGTCTCTTTTCCATCAACCGTTTTGTTCCTTCACTTATTCGGTCTTTTTTATTTTTCGTGTTCTTTGCAACAGTCAGTCCTGCTTTCAAGAGCTTTCGTTGCATTTCTTTATCAATTGTATCATGTCGGAATATTCTTGTTGATAATTTTCTACAAATTATTTTCCTAAGAACTCACTGCCAGTTGTGAACCGATTGAAAGCAGTTTTATCTTCAAAAATGTCTGTTCCTACACAAGAAGTAATCGATCTCTTTTTCGTCTTTTTATCGGGAAATATCCACGTCTATATTCGGTTTGCTGGTTTCTTGAAGTATGTGTTCGTGTGTGAGTCACTTCATAGTTTCCAAAAAAATGTTTTCCGTCCAAAATTTATAGTACTCTTCCATTGTTTCAGCTACAGTGTATGTGATTACACAGTTATGATTTTGTGTTGATTTCTGTTTGTGTTCTGCATTACTTCAGACCTATTAGCGCATATCTGTCCAATATACATTGTGACATTTGCTTGACATTGCATCCAGGCATTTCTCGATCTCTAGGCCGAAGAATTTAGTAGCTGATCCTCTTCTGACAGGTTATTACCTCTTTCATTATCGTGTATTCCACTATGAACAGTGTGACACTGTTATGTTCTGCTAGAGTTCTTCTCGGTATTCCTACACTAGCCCATCTGCAGTTGCTGTCTGCCATCTGAAGTCGTTGTCGGAATTATATCATTACAAAGAGCTCCCACTCAGTTATGAACTACTCCTCAGCTGGCTTTATTACTTGTTAATAATGTCAAATTAGTTAAAAAGATTCCAGTCCGTATGTTTTTTTTTATAATAAGTAAAAGTAAAACGGACAAAGTGCTGTTGGCATGAGTATACATAATTTTTTCTTAGTGTCAATCTGTATACTTTATTATTTTATATTTAATAGGTAATCATAAGTAGTTACAAGGATTTAACAAAATATTGCTGATTTTGTTATTAGCAATATTAATTCTTTATTAAATAGGAAATATTTCCGTGGAGGAAGTCCCCCAGATAGTGCTGATGACTTTCGATGATGCAGTCAATGACTTAAATAAACCATATTACATTGATATATTTGAAAACGGTCGCAAGAATCCAAATGGCTGCCCAATAAGTGCCACCTTTTATGTATCTCACGAGTGGACCGATTACAGCCAAGTTCAAAATCTGTATGCAGATGGTCACGAGATGGCTTCCCATACGGTTTCGTAAGTGGCCTCAATTTATGGAACAGGGCTGGAACTCATTTCACTTTTCTCTGTGTTTGCTTTATTTTTTCTTAACAAAATTGTATTCTAACTTATTTCTTTTCTATGCTACTAACCAATAGGTGACCTCCCTGTGGAACAATTACCTCAAATTGTGTTATTGACCTTCGACGATTCGGTTAATGACTTGAACAAAGGTTTATACCAAGATTTGTTCGAAAAAGGCAGAACCAACCCCAATGGATGTCCAATAGCTGCAACTTTCTACGTCTCCCACGAATGGACTGATTACAGTCAAGTCCAGAACTTGTATTCAGATGGTCACGAACTTGCTTCTCACACAGTATCGTAAGTCTTTTTAACGTTTCTGCACTTACAGATTATTCAATTGCACTCTTAATCTTTTCTGCAAATCCTATTTTAAACATTTCACTTTTCATGTGCTTTCTAATACGAAAATGCTTATACTTGACCTCATAAACATTTTTCTACAGTCACAGCTTTGGTGAACAATTCTCTCAAAAGAAATGGACTCGAGAAGTAGCTGGCCAAAGAGAAATCCTTGCTGCATATGGTGGTGTTCACCTTGAAGACGTTAGAGGAATGAGAGCACCGTTTTTATCGGTAAGTTTCCTTTGCATAATCTAAATTAGCTGTATCTTCTACAACTTCCACTCGATTAGAGTGTGTGACAATTAGTTACATAGAATTGGTATTTATTGGACTAGATTGGTACCAGAAAAGAACCTATAGCCGAACACAATTCCCACTGCGAAAGTACGTCCAGTCAAATGACAAGATATACAGTGGGCGGATAATTACCGCTGGACATGGATTAATATAACCACCGAGCAAAAAGACAAAAGAGGGAATCTAATTCTTATGAAAAGGAGACCAAAAAAGTGGCCTCTGATGGCGGACATATACGGAAATGCGAATGCGCCAAATTTAAATGTTCCGACACTTATTAACTGTAGCTATATAATATTTTTCAGAATGTGTCTTAGACGAGAAAGTTTAGACGAGAAACAATAACATAACCCAACTAAATTTGATGTCAAACAAGGAGAGAGACTCTCTTTCCTTGTTTAATGTGGCCTCTAAAGATCGCACTTCCTGTCTAATAATATTTTTGCGCCCACTACCTTTACATTCCCTCTTTTGTCTTTTTGCTCGATGAATATAACTGAAATGGAACAAGTAGAAATTAGTTCAGAATAATAACATGCTTCCTTGCTGGACATGCGGCAGATAAGGAACACTTCCATACGTTGTAGCTGTTGCAGTGCATTTGAAAAAATCAACCACATCTTGTAGGACTGCAAGACAGTCGATGACAGACGGGAAACAATGTTTGCTCCAATCTTTTATTTTATCACCTATTAACTAGAATCTTTGTTGTTTTAAGGTCGGAGGAAACAAGATGTTCAAAATGTTATACGACTCCAACTTCACTTATGACTCTTCTATGCCTATCTATGAGAATAAACCACCTAGTTGGCCTTACACTTTGGACTACAAGCTTTTCCACGACTGTATGATTCCTCCCTGTCCCACCCGCTCTTATCCTGGTGTATGGGAGGTACCTATGGTTATGTGGCAGGATCTGAACGGAGGAAGGTGCTCAATGGGAGACGCTTGCAGTAATCCACCAGATGCTGACGGTGTGTTCAAAATGTTAACGAAGAATTTTATGAGGCATTACACCACTAACAGGTTAGTAGAGACCAGCCTGTCCTTAACATTGTTAGAGACTATTCTTCGATAGATTTTTGGGCAAATGTTTTAAAATTTATTTTTTAGGGCACCGTTTGGTCTGTTCTATCACGCTGCTTGGTTTACTCAACCTCATCACAAAGAAGGATTTATTAATTTCATAGACAGTATTTTGGCTAAGAACGACGTATGGTTCCTTACAAATTGGCAAGCTATTCAGTGGGTTAGAGATCCAACACCCATGTCAAGACTTGGATCTTTCCAACCATTCCAATGCAATTACCAGGTAAGTTGAAAAGTTGTTTTACGACTACAATAATCTAGAAAACCCAGAAGAATATAGAAACTTAAGTTGTATTGCTTTTGAAATTTGGGCCAATTTAAAATAGTTTAGAGCAAACATTTGTTTTCTTTGCACCTCTTTTTGGGGTGGAGACAGAATTACCTTTATATTTTTGTAAATATTTTGAATTATATGGGCAAAAGTATACTATGCCATAGTCAATCTGTGAAAAATGAAATCTCATTAAATAGATTTTGCATTCAGATCCCCAGCAACGATTAGTCTTACTTTTCCTACTATTTTCTCTACCAAACTCTTGTATTCTCGTAGTGTGATATTAGGGGAGATATATATCGCCACTATTGTGACGGTTCCAAGATTAGGCATCGCTCTTTCCTCTGGTAAGTTGCTACCCCCAGCTCTCTGTTTCTAATATAAACTGCTACATCTTACCTTTTGTCCGTGATCCAGCCTCCTTGGGCTGTAATCTTTTTATTTGGTTAAGGCACTAGCTATAGATCCACTTCATGTGCCGCCCTACTTCTCCCCAAATTTACCTGCACTACTATTAACTCTTTAAATTCTTCCACCTACTTCTTATATTCTCTTTCACTCATTTCTCTCTCTCTCTAATCAAGCTGCAATCTCCCCCTCCATTCTTTTTTCCTCCTTTCCATATCATTTTCTATATTTTCTATTTCTACTTGTGCACTCATGTCACTTTTCCTTACTCTTTTCGTTATGCGAATCTTCTCTGTTTTTTCTTTGTAGTTACCATTTTCGCCTGAAGTGCCTTTGACATATTTTGTAGGGCCGTTATCGCAGGGTTAATTTCAACTTTGGTTTTCACGTGATGGATTAAGGGTTTGGACAAACTTCGATGCCCATGCACTCTTTAGAGCCTCATAGGATCGAGAGGAGTATGCCAAAATTGTCGCCAACATCCACTAATTGGAGAGGGCACCATAAGAAGAGAAGATGCTTTCTGATTGTACTTGGGGTTGAAGTCAGATGCATGGTTGGATATCTTGGTCGTTGACCATTTGGAGACTGTGATTTATATCGCAGACATGGAAGCTGACAGTGAAGACCTAAGGGCCTTCATTTTTTTTGTCAGGTATTCGTTTACCATTCGTTTGATGTTATCAGTATATCTGGATTGATGTCTGCCTCTACTTTTCTTGTTGGCTCTTGGTCGCTCTTCAATAATTCGCTTCGTATTCCTTCCATTCTTCCTATGTGTCCTGCCCAGTTCCTTTTTAACATAGCAATATTTTGGATTACATCTGTAACTTTGTTCGTCTACTTATTTCTTCATTGCTTCGTTCCACAAACAGCCTTCTCCGTTTCAATACTCTCTGAGCGACTTGGAGTTTGTGGACTTGTTATTAAAAGCCTATGTTTCAATTCCATATGTCAGAACCGCCAATACGTACGAATGGAAAATTTTTGCCTTTAAAGTATTTGGTAAATTTGATTTAAAAACTGTTTGTAATCTTCCTAATACTGCCCATAGCTTTTAGGACCTTCAAAACCCTGTATAAGATTTATTTAGCTACTTTTTACTTTACTGTCTTACTATGTGTACATTAACCAACATGTTTTTTGTATTTTTAGAATCGACCAAAAAGATGCAACAATCCTAAGGTGTGTAATCTGTGGCACAAATCTGGTGTAAGATACATGAGAACCTGCCAACCCTGTCCAGACATTTATCCATGGACCGGTAACACTGGAATCCGAAGTAGTAAAATTGACAACGATATTGGAGATTAGACTATAATACCATGGCAGCAAGCCATACTTTTACCCACAATCCATTAGCCATCAATTGTTTTTCGCGAAAAGAATTTAACGTATTTAATCGGTAAAATGGAATGCGACATCGTTATGTTGAAATCTCTGGGGTATGGTCACATTCTAAACATATCGATGTAACCTGCCATATAAAATAATTAGTTCTTGTGTTAATATCTTTCTTCCGTAATTATTTTAACAAACAAATTCTAGAAGTTGTTTCATATTTTTGCCTAAAAAATTGTTTTAAATTTTTTTCTCCAAAATCAAAAATATTAAATAATTTCCTGCGAAAATGTGCTTGAAAATCGGTAATTAAACAATTTCGTAGATTATAATATTTTTAACAAAATAGCTTCATCTCTAAGGATAACAGCACAATTTTTCCAAATTAATATACTTTTTTGATGGCAGATTTTGTCTGTTATCATTTCCAATACTCGACAGTTTTCCAAAAAGACCGCGTGTCTAGGGTTTTTCTCGACAATCGGACCTCATTTATCCTCACTACATGAATACCATTGGAACTTATTTTTCTTACTCCTACTCCTAAATTCGACAGTTACATAAAAAATTTTAATATGAGAATCATCAATGTTTTCTGGGCCCTCAATTTCTCATTTCTTTCCAACTTTTCTTTTTTAAAATCACTTTTTAAGTCTTCCTCCTGAATTAAGAAGTAGGCAAATAAATTAATATTTATGAATTAAATGTGCATATCCTCTGCGATGTTTTTTTAAACAATTATTGGCTTCCTTAAAACACTCCTTATAGTGAATATCGTACCTAATTTATAAAATTTTGATGTTGTTAAGGTGTCAAGTAAAAATCCCCTTCATACCTCATCAACATCTGTATGTACATCTAGCTGTAAATAAGTAGTAATAATTTAATCGAATATGTCACTACTACGTTGGATTAGGATAATTATACAATTAATAAAAGGAAAACTTTACACTGCCTATATCGTAAATAGGTTTAAAAATTGATGTTGTGAGATAGAAATATTATTGAACTATGTAAACGTCATTTAAAAATGTATGTTAATACTTTTGTAATTTATTTTCTGTTTCTAGAAGCAGTGGTTGGTAAATATCAACAAATAAAACAAAATTATATAAATATAGCTTTTTATTTCAACCCTTAATCCATAATTTTACTGACAAGCTAACTGCTACATTCTGCAAAGAGGAAAACTATGTTTACACATAGTTATAAAATAAACAAAGATAAAAACTGTTATACTAGATCCCTGGAGAAAGACTAAAGAAAGCTAGTATCTGATACAAAATTGTACGGATAACTAAAAGAGCTTTAAACGCACATAAAAATATAAAAAGAAAGAGTCTAAGTACTTAACCAACAATATGCCAATATGCCTTCAATAAAGTTTAAGCTATTTACAATATTTCGTATCAGGATAACAGAAACGTGAGGAGATCGTCTGATTCTGGTTGTCGTGTTGTCTTTGTAAAGTCTTAAATTAATTTTCACACTAAAACTGAACCATCTCATAATAACTGTAAGTTAAAAAGACCTTCTTGAAACATTATTTAATGTAATACGTTTTAAGTATCTGATAGTATTAATGTAGGATGGAACAGAACTGCAGAACAACAGTACTTAACCAACAATATGCCAATATGCCTTCAATAAAGTTTAAGCTATTTACAAGATTTCGTATCAGGATAACAGAAACGTGAGGAGATCGTCTGATTCTGGTTGTCGTGTTGTCTTTGTAAAGTCTGTAATTAATTTTCACACTAAAACTGAACCATCTCATATGCCTTCAATAAAGTTTAAGCTATTTACAAGATTTCGTATCAGGATAACAGAAACGTGAGGAGATCGTCTGATTCTGGTTGTCGTGTTGTCTTTGTAAAGTCTGTAATTAATTTTCACACTAAAACTGAACCATCTCATATGCCTTCAATAAAGTTTAAGCTATTTACAAGATTTCGTATCAGGATAACAGAAACGTGAGGAGATCGTCTGATTCTGGTTGTCGTGTTGTCTTTGTAAAGTCTGTAATTAATTTTCACACTAAAACTGAACCATCTCATATGCCTTCAATAAAGTTTAAGCTATTTACAAGATTTCGTATCAGGATAACAGAAACGTGAGGAGATCGTCTGATTCTGGTTGTCGTGTTGTCTTTGTAAAGTCTGTAATTAATTTTCACACTAAAACTGAACCATCTCATATGCCTTCAATAAAGTTTAAGCTATTTACAAGATTTCGTATCAGGATAACAGAAACGTGAGGAGATCGTCTGATTCTGGTTGTCGTGTTGTCTTTGTAAAGTCTGTAATTAATTTTCACACTAAAACTGAACCATCTCATATGCCTTCAATAAAGTTTAAGCTATTTACAAGATTTCGTATCAGGATAACAGAAACGTGAGGAGATCGTCTGATTCTGGTTGTCGTGTTGTCTTTGTAAAGTCTGTAATTAATTTTCACACTAAAACTGAACCATCTCATAATAACTGTAAGTTAAAAAGACCTTCTTGAAACATTATTTAATGTAATACGTTTTAAGTATCTGATAGTATTAATGTAGGATGGAACAGAACTGCAGAACAACAGTACTTAACCAACAATATGCCAATATGCCTTCAATAAAGTTTAAGCTATTTACAAGATTTCGTATCAGGATAACAGAAACGTGAGGAGATCGTCTGATTCTGGTTGTCGTGTTGTCTTTGTAAAGTATGTAATTAATTTTCACACTAAAACTGAACCATCTCATATGCCTTCAATAAAGTTTAAGCTATTTACAAGATTTCGTATCAGGATAACAGAAACGTGAGGAGATCGTCTGATTCTGGTTGTCGTGTTGTCTTTGTAAAGTCTGTAATTAATTTTCACACAAAACTGAACCATCTCATATGCCTTCAATAAAGTTTAAGCTATTTACAAGATTTCGTATCAGGATAACAGAAACGTGAGGAGATCGTCTGATTCTGGTTGTCGTGTTGTCTTTGTAAAGTCTGTAATTAATTTTCACACTAAAACTGAACCATCTCATATGCCTTCAATAAAGTTTAAGCTATTTACAAGATTTCGTATCAGGATAACAGAAACGTGAGGAGATCGTCTGATTCTGGTTGTCGTGTTGTCTTTGTGAAGTCTGTAATTAATTTTCACACTAAAACTGAACCATCTCATATGCCTTCAATAAAGTTTAAGCTATTTACAAGATTTCGTATCAGGATAACAGAAACGTGAGGAGATCGTCTGATTCTGGTTGTCGTGTTGTCTTTGTAAAGTCTGTAATTAATTTTCACACTAAAACTGAACCATCTCATATGCCTTCAATAAAGTTTAAGCTATTTACAAGATTTCGTATCAGGATAACAGAAACGTGAGGAGATCGTCTGATTCTGGTTGTCGTGTTGTCTTTGTAAAGTCTGTAATTAATTTTCACACTAAAACTGAACCATCTCATATGCCTTCAATAAAGTTTAAGCTATTTACAAGATTTCGTATCAGGATAACAGAAACGTGAGGAGATCGTCTGATTCTGGTTGTCGTGTTGTCTTTGTAAAGTCTGTAATTAATTTTCACACTAAAACTGAACCATCTCATATGCCTTCAATAAAGTTTAAGCTATTTACAAGATTTCGTATCAGGATAACAGAAACGTGAGGAGATCGTCTGATTCTGGTTGTCGTGTTGTCTTTGTAAAGTCTGTAATTAATTTTCACACTAAAACTGAACCATCTCATATGCCTTCAATAAAGTTTAAGCTATTTACAAGATTTCGTATCAGGATAACAGAAACGTGAGGAGATCGTCTGATTCTGGTTGTCGTGTTGTCTTTGTAAAGTCTGTAATTAATTTTCACACTAAAACTGAACCATCTCATATGCCTTCAATAAAGTTTAAGCTATTTACAAGATTTCGTATCAGGATAACAGAAACGTGAGGAGATCGTCTGATTCTGGTTGTCGTGTTGTCTTTGTAAAGTCTGTAATTAATTTTCACACTAAAACTGAACCATCTCATATGCCTTCAATAAAGTTTAAGCTATTTACAAGATTTCGTATCAGGATAACAGAAACGTGAGGAGATCGTCTGATTCTGGTTGTCGTGTTGTCTTTGTAAAGTCTGTAATTAATTTTCACACTAAAACTGAACCATCTCATAATAACTGTAAGTTAAAAAGACCTTCTTGAAACATTATTTAATGTAATACGTTTTAAGTATCTGATAGTATTAATGTAGGATGGAACAGAACTGCAGAACAACAGTACTTAACCAACAATATGCCAATATGCCTTCAATAAAGTTTAAGCTATTTACAAGATTTCGTATCAGGATAACAGAAACGTGAGGAGATCGTCTGATTCTGGTTGTCGTGTTGTCTTTGTAAAGTCTGTAATTAATTTTCACACTAAAACTGAACCATCTCATATGCCTTCAATAAAGTTTAAGCTATTTACAAGATTTCGTATCAGGATAACAGAAACGTGAGGAGATCGTCTGATTCTGGTTGTCGTGTTGTCTTTGTAAAGTCTGTAATTAATTTTCACACTAAAACTGAACCATCTCATATGCCTTCAATAAAGTTTAAGCTATTTACAAGATTTCGTATCAGGATAACAGAAACGTGAGGAGATCGTCTGATTCTGGTTGTCGTGTTGTCTTTGTAAAGTCTGTAATTAATTTTCACACTAAAACTGAACCATCTCATATGCCTTCAATAAAGTTTAAGCTATTTACAAGATTTCGTATCAGGATAACAGAAACGTGAGGAGATCGTCTGATTCTGGTTGTCGTGTTGTCTTTGTAAAGTCTGTAATTAATTTTCACACTAAAACTGAACCATCTCATATGCCTTCAATAAAGTTTAAGCTATTTACAAGATTTCGTATCAGGATAACAGAAACGTGAGGAGATCGTCTGATTCTGGTTGTCGTGTTGTCTTTGTAAAGTCTGTAATTAATTTTCACACTAAAACTGAACCATCTCATATGCCTTCAATAAAGTTTAAGCTATTTACAAGATTTCGTATCAGGATAACAGAAACGTGAGGAGATCGTCTGATTCTGGTTGTCGTGTTGTCTTTGTAAAGTCTGTAATTAATTTTCACACTAAAACTGAACCATCTCATATGCCTTCAATAAAGTTTAAGCTATTTACAAGATTTCGTATCAGGATAACAGAAACGTGAGGAGATCGTCTGATTCTGGTTGTCGTGTTGTCTTTGTAAAGTCTGTAATTAATTTTCACACTAAAACTGAACCATCTCATATGCCTTCAATAAAGTTTAAGCTATTTACAAGATTTCGTATCAGGATAACAGAAACGTGAGGAGATCGTCTGATTCTGGTTGTCGTGTTGTCTTTGTAAAGTCTGTAATTAATTTTCACACTAAAACTGAACCATCTCATATGCCTTCAATAAAGTTTAAGCTATTTACAAGATTTCGTATCAGGATAACAGAAACGTGAGGAGATCGTCTGATTCTGGTTGTCGTGTTGTCTTTGTAAAGTCTGTAATTAATTTTCACAGTAAAACTGAACCATCTCATATGCCTTCAATAAAGTTTAAGCTATTTACAAGATTTCGTATCAGGATAACAGAAACGTGAGGAGATCGTCTGATTCTGGTTGTCGTGTTGTCTTTGTAAAGTCTAATTAATTTTCACACTAAAACTGAACCATCTCATATATGCCTTCAATAAAGTTTAAGCTATTTACAAGATTTCGTATCAGGATAACAGAAACGTGAGGAGATCGTCTGATTCTGGTTGTCGTGTTGTCTTTGTAAAGTCTGTAATTAATTTTCACACTAAAACTGAACCATCTCATAATAACTGTAAGTTAAAAAGACCTTCTTGAAACATTATTTAATGTAATACGTTTTAAGTATCTGATAGTATTAATGTAGGATGGAACAGAACTGCAGAACAACAGTACTTAACCAACAATATGCCAATATGCCTTCAATAAAGTTTAAGCTATTTACAAGATTTCGTATCAGGATAACAGAAACGTGAGGAGATCGTCTGATTCTGGTTGTCGTGTTGTCTTTGTAAAGTATGTAATTAATTTTCACACTAAAACTGAACCATCTCATATGCCTTCAATAAAGTTTAAGCTATTTACAAGATT